ATCCATAAGAAACCTCTACTTCAACAAATTCACCAACTTAATAAAGAACTTTACAGCCATTAGTGAAACAGAACAGATAGTATTAGGAGAGGGACAGACAGCAGCACTTGCTGTGAGATACATGTGGATGTGCCACAGCCTGAGAGACAGCAGGTGAATGTGTGTGTGAGTGTGTGTGTGTGAGTGTGTGTGTATGAGTGAGAGCGAGAGACAGCAGGTGAATGTGTGTGTGAGTGTGTGTGTGTGAGTGTGTGTATGAGTGAGAGCGAGAGACAGCAGGTGAATGTGTGTGTGAGTGTGTGTGTGTCGTGCTGCTTTCTAAAATTTCTCATTCTGACTGATTTCTAACGCTCATTAGAAGCTCATGGAGTCCAAATTAACAACTTTCTTTCAATTCCACAGAGATGCACACATGGCTGCACAAAGAAAAAAAAAAGGAAGTTCTTTATAGATCATAAATACATACCCATAAGAAACCTCTACTTCAACAAATTCACCATCTTAATAAAGAACTTTACAGCCATTAGTGAAACAGAACAAATAAAGATAGTATTAGGAGAGGGACAGACAGCAGCACTTGCTGCGAGATACGTGCATGTGTATGTGTGAGTGAGAGACAGCAGGTGAATGTGTGTGTGAGTGTGTGAGTGAGAGAGAGACAGCAGGTGAATGTGTGTGTGAGAGAGAGAGAGAGAGAGAGTGAGATAGAGTATTCCCTCCAAATACTCATTATTTCTATGTAAGTTAAAGACTGTGGTATCAAATGTTCACATGTTATAATTTGTTACAGTTTAATACTTCTAAGATGTTATAATATTCCATTATATTACTTGTTTGTTCATTTACTTATTATTATTGTTATTATATTATTATTTTTTATCTTTTTGTACATGTATACTAAGCTTTGGCAATATTGTATCATTTACAGTCATGCCAATAAAGCAATTTTGAATTGAATTGAATCGAGAGAGAGAGAGAAGACACACACAGAGAGAGAGAGAGAGAGAGAGAGAGAGATGTCATTTGGTATTACTGAGCATTTTTGCATGTCACCAAAAATTAAAGCACATTCTTTTAACTAACTCTTGTAGAAAAGACATGAAGTTTGTTCCATTAAATTGATCCATGGAATAAAACTCAACCTCCTACATTTTAAAACGTAGGGGTTTAAATGGTTAAATCTTACCTCTGTCCCTGACAACAAAGCAATTCTTCAGCGGTCCTATTTCTGAGAAAACCTCTGCCAGATGTTCATTAGTGGCTGTTGCAGGTAATCTCCTGACAAATAAAGTGACTGCAGGCATTTTTCCCACACGAGTCAGCTCGACTGTTCTTCACAGCCAGCAAACGTCTCTAAAACAACACTGTTGATTACTGACTATGGCAGATATTGTTATATACAAGTCGCGATAACATTAAAGATCTTGTCATATGAATGCCTGTAAACAGTTCAGTAGTAATAAGGCACGTTTTCCCACGTGCTTCTGCTCTACAGGAAGTTGTCATGCTGGAGATTCTTCGTTTGTGTGGCACTGCGCGGTGAGGAACAGCACTGACACCTGCTGGTCTGGAGAAGCATGTCCGGGTAGGTCTTTTTCGAGTCCAAGCCCAACAGGTCACAAAATCACCATAGAGTAGCCCAAACGACTCGCGTGCTTATACTGTATATATGATAGCTTTGTGTGAGGAGGAACAGATCGCTACTCATAATAATAGTCTAGAAACGGATCAGTCCGATGCGTGCGAATTTGTGAATGGGATCAACTGATTGATTGAAAATATCCGACACAAAAGAACATTTTCATTGATCCACCTTTATGGTGGTTTTGCGTCACTTTGAGATTGACATCTTCATTTACCATTTATATTGCATATAAAAGATTTGTGTTCCACAAAACGACACGAGGGTGCATATAATGACAGACCTTTTCATTTAAGTATGTTTTATTATTATTATTATGATTGTGTTTGCTGATAAAAAATGTATATGCTTTATACATGTTTTTTTTTCTCATAAATTTTAAAGGGGAAAATTTTTAAAAATAATCCGAACTGTGGTTTATTCTGCGGAGAACTTCTGAAAACATGACAATGAGGTAAATTTTATTTGCACCTACTGCGTGCTAGTTTACTTTGTGTGTGTGTGTGTGTACCTGGTATTTATCACGTTATGGGGACCAAATGTCCCCACGAGGATAGTAATACTAGTAAATTTTGACCTTGTGGGGACATTTTTGAGGTCCCCATGAGGAAACAAGCTTATAAATGATAAAGAATGAGTTTTTTTGAGAAAGTAAAAATGCACAAAGTTTCCTGTAAGGGGTAGGTTTAGGGGTAGGGTTGGTGTAGGGCAAGAGCACATACAGTTTGTACAGTATAAAAACCATTACGTCTATCTAATGTCCCCATAAAACATGGAAACACAATGTGTGTGTGTGTGTGTGTGTGTGTGTGTTTAACATTTTCCATTTAATTAGAAAAAAAGTCAGATTCACGCCTGCTTTTATCATTATATCTTCGGAGTATTTCAATGTCTTTCTGCTCTTGGTCACTAGAGGGCGACAACATCCACTCAATTGTTTAATATCTTATTGGCATGATTTTGCACATTGTAGAATGCATCTAAAAGTCACAGAAAAAAGTAATCAGTAATGGTAAATAATAAAAACAAAATCATAATTTAAAATATAAAATGTAATTTAAATCTAAATATATAAATTTAAATATCATTTTTGTAAATGTATAAATAACTTTGTATTGTACAGCTATTGTTTAGTTCAAATATGAATTGGCTGACATCATATTCTATTTCCATTAAGCTTTGCTCCATGACAGTATGTCACAGGCTAAAATCAGTGCTCTGAAGTAGAAATCTTGGAATTTTTAAAGTACACATTGGTTAATTGTTTCAGACGTGACCAAGTCAAAATGTTTGGCTTAACACAAATACACTTTTATTTAGCTATTATTTAGAGACTGATTTTCAGATAGGTTAATCATCTTGATTTTGTTCTTGTTGGTATACCTGATCATCGGACAGACATCATGCTTTGTCCTCTGGTTCTCCTTTGTCACCCTTTCCTGTAATCCCGTCTGGTAAGTGTCTTAACCCAAAGTGTGGGTTAATCTACCTCTGAAGGACAGTTACCAAGATGTGTGTATAGTGTGTTCATGAAAAGGCTGCTGAAGGTTTCAGCATCTCCAATACCGAGAGACAACAGTGGCATAGCAGAGACTGGCTCCGGGCCCAGTTACACAAGTGCCCAGCAGAAATTATCTTACAGCACGCTGTGTGATGAGTGTGTTTGTGTTTTCTTTGCATTAGCACTTTGGACACACCATTCTGTAAGTATCAGCACAACTTTCTTATCATACAGTTTGCATTTAGACAGTGTGCATTATTTATTTGGAATCTAAAAGGCCACAAATGACGCGCGAAGGAGACCGTGGTAATGCTGTGGATTGGGTTATTGTATTTCATCTGTTTAAATTGAGATCCTCTCCGACATGTGGGGGCGTCCACTTAATATTTGTAGTTCATAATGATAGCATATGCTTTTTAGGCTGTGATGAGAAAGACCAAATCAAGTCATCATGGTGCAGGTGCCTGTGAGTTGGTGCTTAGAGAAGACCAAGAGTGAACAGTCACAAAAGGTTTTTACAGTATAACCAGAATAATATGTTGTGAAAATACACTGAAAATGACAGGTTTTCTTTAATTAGCCTCAAAACATTACTGTAACGTTTTGGTGTAATGCAAACAAAATCAGATAAAATTGCAATGTTGGTAAAACGTTTAGGTTTAGGCTTTAAAAAAAACCTACAATTGGCCGGAAACCTTTTGAACGGGCACATGTTTGTAAAAAAAAAAAAAACTTTGCTTTAAACATGGCTTGTCCAATCAGAGAATTCAGATTCTAGACAGTCTGTTTTTTAATGTCATAATAATAGTCATGATAATATAATAATTGATGGATTAATAGACATAATAAAAATGAATAATTTTAACCAATAACCAAAAACTAACTTTTGTTTCTGGTTAGTGATATACAGTAACTGTGTTTTAGAGCTAGAAATGGTTTAGAAATGTATATGGATAAAGCGTATTTGTTCTGTGTAAAATGAAGTACATTTCAATTCTGATGTGAAAATTCAACAGCTATTGAGTCACCAAGTTTAGAATAATCTGCCAGGCAATATGACTGTGGGTAAGACATGTTCAAGTGTAGATTCATGTTTTCTTTGACTATAGATTCATGTGATAGCGAGTTGCATTTATGATCACAGCAGGATACTGTCATGCTCCTGGTGTTGACGCAGATTCTGTAAATGGGTCATGCATTTCTCTCTCTCTGGTGGTGCTTTAAAATAAGGTTGTAGGAGGGGAAGTTATGAAAGATATTTTTCTTGCGCTGATTTGAATGACAGGACGGCGCATTGCAGAGCCAAACACAACAGCGCTAAACACAGAGGAAAAACACAAAGAACACACACTCATATGGAATCTATCTATCTATCTATCTATCTATCTATCTATCTGAATGTAGACTAAGGCAGTGTTACCGAATGACCTTGTCAGAGGTCAGCAAAGTGGGACAGTGGGATATTGTATGAACCCACGCTGGCAGTGTGTTGAGTGGGAGAGTTCAGACTCATGTGATGAGGAACTGATGAATACAAATGATTTCTTTTCACTGACTGAATCAACCCACCACAGCAGAGCATTTTTATTGCCACTGTTGGTAGACAGAAAATGCTTACTTTGCTTACTAAGCTGCGCTAGTTACTTTATCTGTACTTTATATATGGAAAATGGGTGGATGAGGGCCTATATAATGCTAATATAATATGTAATAGTGACTTTCTAAAACTGAAATGTATTTTATAGTTAGTAATATGGTTAAATAGTTACAAAAATGTTTTATAGTACCTTATTTAATAATCATAATGATTGGATTTTTGTAATGAATTCTAATAGTTTTTTATAGTAAAATGAATTAAATGGTCATAGTGTTTGACTGACAACTTATTGTTTGTATTGAATGTGGGTCACTGGGGTGCAATTACTAACAATGTCTTATAATACTGGTGATGTGAGCATCACTGCTGTCTTTCTAATGACAGCTGTGCTGTAATGCTCTAGGGTTGAAGAACAATCATGTCTACAGTATTGCATAATGAACACATCTGAGGGACACGTGTGTCAGATAGTTGTTTATGAGTACAATGAAATTTAGATTTTTAATTTACGGCATCATTTGCTGTTTTAAATTAAGACACAAAAATGGTGATAGCATCTTGACTGATGTACAATAGAATGAGCCTCAGTCAAGATACTGTGTGTGTGTGTGTGTGTGTGTAATCATCACAAATCATTACAAAGAGGGGACACGCAGCTGCCAAACCATTTATACCAAAGAAAACCTATGAGACATAGAAAATTAGCCATTATTTCACTCCCATAGTCCCATAATATCTTGATGATTGTTCATTATTGTGTGGGCGTTTCCCGGGACAGAAACCATATGGAGGGTCTCAGTGGGAGGTGTGAGACACTAGAGGGAGGGTGGATGTTTACACAGGCGTCTTATGGGTCATCCGGCATAAATCTGCATATGCTATTAGCATCATTAACAACTCACAACTTGCTGTAATGACTAATGAGAAGTCACTGTGGATGAGAGGAAAGAATCTCATCCTAAACCGAATTACCCATATTCCCAGAAGCCACATGCTTGATACTTTAAATGGGCTGTGTTAGCAAGATCAAAACAAGATGGAAGAGTGACGGTTTTTGTGAGTATCCAGAAACATCAAGTTTTTATTGAACAACGTCAAAGACAGAAGCATTAATCATTCCATGAGGCCGATTCCTTTGTCTGTGGGTCAGCTTCAGATGCCAGTGCAAAGCCCTACAGCCCACATGGACCCAATTCAGGGCCATTTTTTGTCTGTAGTGAATGATTATGAATCATTGGCTTGGTTGTGTCTCTGCGGCTGAGGCCACTTATCCAGAGCTGTAGCAGTGTGCTTGGGTTCAAAAGCAGCTTGGAGGAGCTTGATAGAACCAAAGCCATCTCTTATAGCTTATCGTTATGAATTAAGCAGCAGATGGGGGATATTATCATATTACAAGGCCATAATCATGGGATTAAATTATAAACCTGATGAATTGTGGGCATGCTCAGGTTTCAGGCTGGATCGAGCCTTGAAGTTTAACTCAAAATGATTTCTCAAAGTCTGATTCACATCTATTAAAAAGTTTCTGAGGAAACTGAATCAGACAGCTTTGGAGAGGGACAGTTTAATATGGTCCAAGTCTTCCAGTCTCATAGGGTTGGAAAGGTTTTGTCTGGTTATGATGATGAAAAAAAAAAAATTGTGTGTAAGCAGATCATCTGTGGAAAAGATTTAGACTGGCTTAAAGTAGACACAATGTTTGTTTACGGTGGTTTAATGCAATCCAGAATAAGCCTTGTTCCCGATCCCCAATCAATCATGTTTGTTTTTGCACTTGGTTATGTAAAGGGACATTCAGACAGCATTATATTGCCAACCCT